TTTTTAATCACATAAAGTACAATTTTAAAATATTAAATATCTTTTATTTTTCACTTAATTCTCCTGTATTAAATAGCTAGTTACAATTTTTACTTTAATTGTCAGCTTTTTTTATTAAACCATTTCTCATATATTTTATTTTCTTTTATTACTTCACTCCTCCAATAGAGCATTAATTTTTATATGATTAAATAATAAAAAAAAACATTGCATTTTCTATTTATTATTATTTTCTTAAACCTAACAAACAAAGTATACATCTCTTGTTATCATATCATAGATTATTTTAAAGTGGGGCCTATGTTATTTTAATAGGACCGGGTTGATCAATGGTGTGTGATTGATGAAGGAACCAACCAACATCATTAGAATGGTATAGGATCTGCACTGAATATACTACGTTTGATCATTTGTATATTTTTAAAAGATTATAAGGGACCAAAATAGGTTTTTAGCCTAATATTTATATTATATTTGTGTCTTTATCAACCCTTTTCCTTTTTTACTTTTCATATTATTTTCCCACTTCCGGTGAGAAAAATATTCTTTTATTGCATTAGTGCCCAATTAACTCACTTTTGATGAGAAAATATTCCTTTATTGCATTGTTGCACAATTATCTCACTTCCAGTGAGAAAATTAAAAACCTAAAAAATTTCTTCATTTGACAATATATTCTGGATCATTGCAAAATTGTTACATATATAAATATATAACATTCACAAAAAATTATACAATTTCACAATACAAAAAAAAATTCTCTTTAAGAAAAAATTCAATTTTTAATCGATCTCTTTATCCGTATAATCAATTAAACCAAATTGAAGCAAAAAAAAAATGACCAACACATTCAAATACACGTATTGTCAATGAAGAAAGAAAAAAATTGTAACAATACACTTTAGAACCCCATAACATAATAACAATGACAGCTCTGATACCACTTGTTGGGATAAAATTTTCTTAAGCCAAATAGAAATTTTCCATTAATCAAAAATTAAGAACCGTTGTCTCAGATTACAGAGTTAATGTTAATAACACGTACCTATATCCATTGATGTTGATCAAAAGGTTGCAGCAGAATAGTTTTTTGGTGCAATGATCTTCCTCAGGCAAATCACTGAATTTCTTGATGGGACTTGATGTTACTCTGGAGACAGAGAGACGTGTGTTTCTGATTTAGCATATTGGGGACCATGACCATCTTTACGATTTTAAACCTATTAGGGTTCCCATTAACCCCTAACGGGCCAAATCTGGTTTCCACTTATTTGGGCCCATATCAGTTTTTTCTTGTTGGCAGTCTAAAGGCTCACTAACATTATATCACTTTTATTGAGCCCAACTAAATGTAAATAACTAATATAAATACTACAAATAATATATGTAGCCCACAATAATTATTAGAAATAAAATTTCTAACAATTTATGTTATGTGTATTGTGATCAGATGTTTTATTTTGGATAGGATAATCATCATGGTTGTTGTGTCATGATTTTTTGGTACCTGAATTATTTTTTTGACCAATCCTTATAATCAACTTTGCATGCCGATATTATTTGTAAGTCGTATAATTGAGCATGTGCCATCATGTCTTATCATATACGTTATGGAACTTATGTCGGCTGATTATCGATTTAGGGTAGTTTTTAAAATTAATCACGTAAATAAGATTGTTTTGAAACTATTTATACTTTTGGAGCATTTTATTATAGTGTTACTATGGGTCATAGTGACACCCGTGCCACGTGTAATTTTTATAATTTTAAGAAGTCATGAGCGCCATATTATGAAAGTTGCTATAGCTGATAGCGCCTCATACACAGTCACTACAGCCCCTAATGACACAAAACGACTTTAATGAAGTCGCTATAGCCTACAACGCCACCCATTAATTATTTTTTTTATAAAATAATTTACTTTAAATTTGAGTATATAATATTTTTTAACAAATATAATTTACTTAAAAAATTTGTATAGTGTATAATAATAAATTTAAAATAAAATAAAATATTTTTAGCGACACAATTTATTGATATAAAATGGAAATAGCATAAAAAAAAAAAAAAAAAAGTCGCTATGGCCTATAGCGACACAATGTCACTATGGGCCATAATGTCTCTTATGACCTATAGTGACACAATGTCGCTATGGGCTATAATGTCACCTGCTCAGGGGTTGGTACAGTTATTATATTTATATGTGATTTATTTTTTCTATTCATAGGTTTATGAGTTTTTCAATCCGACTTACAAATCTCCAATATGATAACCCGATTAGCTTTTATATTTTTAAAGATATTCACAAAATTTGCAAAGCTTGTGTGTTTATATTTTAATAATCAGATCTCTCAACCTTTTGTTTCATTCATTTATTTATTTTTCCTGACCTTAATATGTTTTATGGGAAGCACAACACAATTCTCTCTTAGTTGTTAATCTGAATTTGAGAATTTTGGACGGAGTTTTACCATTTTTTCCTTGGTAGCTAAGGCGAATGTACACTCTACGATTGACTCTCATAATTTTTAATTAAATTTTGTTGGGATGATTTTACCTCGTCAATTTAAAAAAAAAAAACGGAATTATTAATATATATATATATATAACTCGTAAATTCTAAAGAACCAATTATTTTAGGCTAAATTAATCAAAAGTCGAATCGTTTAAATAATATTTAAATTAGACTGTTGATGAAAATAATCTTCTTAACTAAGTTTTACTTATCTTTTAGTCAACTCAAATTAGTCTAAAACAAAATTTTAGAATAATGTTATGAAAAAAGAAATAAATCACATTTTTACCTATTTTTCTTTCACTTCTCTCTTGTTATATAAGATACTCAAATGATTATTTATTGTGGTTAAATGTGTGAAGTTTTTTATGGGATTATTTTATGATATTTGTCTGAGACAATATTTTATAAGAGTTATTTTTATAAACTTTACAATGGTGAGATATTATTCGTTTTGAGCCTAAGCCCTTACGGTATTACTTTTGGTTATCACCTAAAAGGTCTATCAGGAGTATGAACGTGTTTTATAGGTTATTATTTTTTCTCTTATTTTATTAATATGAGACTTATTTGTATCCCAACAATGTTCAATATATTTTATTCCACGTGTGAGATTATCAAATATTGTCCGGTCAATTTTTTTATATTTATTTGTAGACATGATATATAAAGTGTCTCAAAGTTAAAAATTAATAACTAATTTACGTTTAGATAATATATATTTGTTGAATAAATAATATTTTAACAAAAAAAATTAAATTTGAGAACATTGGTTAACTTTTTATGCCTTATATATTTCATACCTTACAATCATTAGACATTGATTTTGATTTCTACTTGCTTGCACAAATTTGAAAAAAAAGAAAATAGAAGTAACAATATTTGTTACTTTTACTTTCAACATGGAATTAGAAGTAGTTTTAGGAAAATTGAGTCACTCACACTATAATTGACTATATTCATGCTTCAGGTCTCAAGAATTATCCAGCAAATTAAAGCTGATTGTTGTATTTTTGTTTTTCCAACGACCATTCTATCTAATCTACCGTGTGACTTGTTTGGTTGGTTGGGGAAAAACGAAAAAGACATCAGTGGCTGAGCTTGGAACCTAATTAAGTTGAGGTCGTTTGCATTTTCATACTCCATAATCAAAATGTAAATTGAGTATATTAAATTACATTTAGTAACTACTAGAATATTTCTACGCTTTGAAATTTGAAACTTCATCCGTAAACATTTACAGGGGAGTCTTGTACTGAATATTTGACTAAAATTGTAAGTATTTTTTTAAAAAAATTAAGGATCAAAATTACTTAATTTAAAATAAGGGAACTAAAAATTACAAATTATTATGTAAGTATATTAGCATTAATTAGTTATCATTATAAAAAGGAAAAGGATAGAGAGATGGATTAAAAAATGATCCAAGTGAAGCACGTCAATTTCAAGCAAGTCACTTGGTTATTCCCTTTGGTTAGTTTCATTTTAGGCCAATAATTATATTGGCAGGCAGAGACCCAAAACATATTTCATCATGCATGACATGTATTTTTATTTTTTAGATATTTATTATTTTGCTTGCCATAATCATGCGTGACATGTATTTTTTTCTTTTTTAGATATTTATCATTTTGCTTGCCATAATTTCAATCATTTTCTTATCCTACCATATTGTCCCTTTAAGAAACAGTACCTAATTCACTGTCAACTCCAAAGTCAAAAAGAACTCAGCATCTTCTTCTGCGTAGCGAATTGTGTTCACCGGAGACAGAAGAATGAAGGAAGTGGGCGTGGTTGCCGTGATGTTGACGGCAGAGTTGTTGGACGTGATCGTCAACACTGTAAGCAAAGCAGCCATGAAGAAGGGCATGAATGACTTTGTGTTCGTCATGTACTCCAATGCCTTCGCTGCATGCTTCCTCTTTCTCATAACCTTAATCTTTTATAGGTATGCGTACATACATAGCCCATATCTTAATTAATTCTAACTAGTTATGTGTTGCCTTATTTTTCTAATTTTGCTTGTGCAGGAAAAGAACACTTCCTCCACTCTCCTACAACATCGTTGGTCTGTTTTTTGTTGTAGGATTGATCAGGTAATTATTTACTTTACTTTGATTTAACCATCTCTGTTTATTATGCTTGTTCTTGTTTTAATCTTTTTTGGATATTAATTTCTTCCTTGATCCTTTTTCTTGTGTCTTGCTTCTTGCAGTTGCAGTAATCAGATGTTCAAGTTTTTTGGCATAGGTTACAGCTCTCCTACTTTGGCCTCAGCTCTCTCTGATTTGATCCCCGCTTTTACCTTCATACTTGCCATCATCTTCAGGTTCTTCTTACTACTACTTTCTAATAACTTATCTTTTTATTAAGTTTTAATCAGAAAGGAACACTTACTAATGAAACTTTAGATTGACCTGTCAAAGCATCAGAAATGAACACTTACTAATGATAGGTTATGGTAAGTTTGACATAATTTTCTTAGTTAATCATTAAACTTGGTCCTACAGGATGGAAAAATTTGTCTGGAAAGCTAACAGCACCGTGGCCAAGTCTATTGGCACATTTGTATCAATCTCTGGGGCCTTGATAATGTCTCTTTACAAAGGGCAGGCAGTGATAAATAGTGGTCCCTCTCTTAAATTGTTACCTAAAAAACTTGCTTCGTCTATGGAATTTGACTGGGTATTTGGGGCAGCGTTGCTTGCGGCTCATAGCTGTTTTCTTTCAATAAACTATATACTTCTGGTAATGAATGCAAATCTGACACACCTTTTGGCATGTTTGCAATGACTAGCATGACTATGGTGATTGATTTATGATTTTACTTCTTTTAAATTTCTAGACACGGATAGTTAGAGAATACCCTGCAGAGCTGGTTGTGGTACTTACTCGCATTGCATTAGTCTCTATACTGTCTGTTCCTGCTGCGGTGATTTCAGTAAAGGATCTAAAAGATTTGAGATTGGGATTTAATATGGAGTTGATAGCTATTGGATGTTCAGTAAGAATAGAAAATGATGTTATTTCCTATGTCAAGTCAACATAAATAACTCTCCATGTTGTGACTTGGGATTAACTTGATCTTCTTTTCAATGCATTATGCAGGCAATTTTCGTGTTATCCTTTCGAGGTGTTATCCATACATGGGCCATGGGGAAGAGGGGTCCTGTCTATGTCGCAATGTTTAAGCCACTTGAAATAGTCTTTGCAGTCATCTTGGGGATTACTTTTCTTGGGGACAATCTCTATGTTGGAAGGTATGAGACCATGTTTTCTTAATGAAGTGAAGTAGCGAACCGTTGAGAGTTGTTTTCTTCTTTCATATTTCTATAGTATTTTGTTAAAATCCACTGTTTTTTTCTTTCTGTCACTCTTATTTTATACTTGTTTCTTTTCTCTTTGTATGTCTACCTTAGTTGTATAGAAAGTTCTAACAAACATAAGTAGGAATATAATTTCTCTTTTGTTAACATGTTCAATTTAAAATATATGTTTTGGGTCCAAGAAGGAATATAATTACTAGGGTCTAACTTGACTTATGTACAGTGTGATTGGAGCTGCAATAGTTGTTATTGGTTTTTATGCTGTCATTTGGGGGAAAAGTCAAGAAAAGGTTGAAGAAGAGGGTGCAGTCTACAGCTCTGAATCATACTCTACTGAGGCCCCTCTTTTGCAGAACCAGAGAATAGGGGAATAAAATTTTCAGGATATTATATATACTGTCTGCCACTGTACCAAAAAAAACAAAAAAACAGTCTTCTTGTAAGCAAAGAAGGATGGCACCACAAGTTTCAATATTCTTTTTCCTCTGAATTTGTTCCCTGCAAGAGCTAGATATTAGTCACTGGTAACATGAATAACTTGTTGCCACTTATTGTCTACATCCACATGTAGAGAAAGGTCATAGAATGGATTACAATTTTCAGCCAAGGCTTAGTTGAATGCACACAAATATCAATCAGTTTGACTTTTCTTCTTTATTTGTTGATTGTGGACTAGTTGATTTGCCCTCCACTCGTTGTCAACTAATCAAGAAAAATTACAAGATATATCAGCAATCTTTTGTGGCCATTCAATGCTCAAACGGTAACTTGATAATGAATAATCCGTATTCCTACATGATCAATTCAACCTCGTGCACTTGTGTGTGTTTTATATCATAATTAAAAAGTTGAGTTGAAATTAATTTTCTAAATTTAAGTTTAATTAAAAGAGAATTTAGTTTAATTTAATTTATGTTTAGATTTCTTTATTTTAAAAGTATTTTTTTTATTAAAATAAAAACTTGTTTGTATTAGAATTATATTATGTTATTTATCTGAATGAATATTTATATCTAGAAAAGAGAATTATATTTTATTATTTTAATACGGGATATTTGCAAAAATATAATTTTATAACAGTGAGATATTATACATTTTGAATTTATATTCTCAAGATTTTTGTTTTAATTACTTTTTAAAAAATCACTCAATTATTAACATATGTATATATTTTATAAATTATTATTTTTTATTTTATTAATGTAAAATTTAATTTTTATTTCAACTGTTTGAGGGATAACATGTAAAAATACTTTTAAATATATAATTACTGAAATGGAAATGCTTAATGGGAACAAGATGATAATGATCCTACATGGTCAATTCAACCTCGGTGCGCTTAATTGTACAGATTAAAGTTCCTTGCATCAGTAGCCTTTACATCAAAGTTATGTCATGGCTTTATGGGATATGGGAAAAAAGTTATAGAGTGTTTGGAGGAAGAATTTTATAAATTTATAGGATGAAGAATTTAAATGGAGTAATTTAATTATTTAAAGAATTTTAAATTTTTTGAGATGAAATATTTTGTTTGGATGGAGAATTTATAAGGAATTTGAAATTTAAATATTTGTAAAATTTCTTGAAATAGTAGAATTTCAAATTCTTCAAAAAAAATGATAAGAATTTGAAATTTCTCATATTTTCTTTTTCTTATTTCACTTATATATTTTATCTTATCTCTTATCTCTTCATATTTTTAATTATTGAATATTTAAAAATATTTTTAAAATTATTAAATATTATCTAATATTAATTTTTAAAATTATTAAATATTTAAAAATTAGCTAATATTTATTTTTATAAAATTTAATTTAAGAATCTCAACATTAAATATATTTTTAAAATCAAAAAGAAGAATTACTATAACGTTATTTTTAATTAGGATATTTAAGAAATATTATTAAACGGGTACTTGCAGGTATGGATATCATCATATCCGCTCCTGTCCCGTTTATAAACGGGTAAAAAATTATCTGACTTTATTATCCGTGAGTACCTAATTAACTTATCCATTTATTATCTATAACAGATTTTATCCGCAGATACTAGCGAGTGTAAGTATTTTTGCCATTCCTATTTGTAACATATGCAATCGACTTTGTAACATACTTGATTGGTCTTGCGTTGTCGGTGGTGGAGGGTTGCCAATGCTTTTTCATTATGTCTTTTTGTGGCTTCTATGCACTATGATAATTCAATGTTGAATGTAATAAGTGGCCTTGTGGTGACCGTAGTTGCCACGAGTTCCACACATGGTGTTGCAATGGCAAAAATTAGAGGTTGTTGCCTTAACATGATATTTTATTTTGGTGTATTTTAAAATTATTTTTCTCTTTTAACTTTCAAAATACTCTCTTTCTCATAATTTTTTATATTTAATTATTATTTTCAGTTTTTTTTAGAGATTATTTTCAGTTTTATTCTTTATATTTTTTATCAATTTATTTATCAAACATCTTGTATCCTCTAATTAAACACTCACTTCGTTATTTTTTTTTTCTTCTTTCTTTCATATGGACATAAAATATCCGTTTCTTACTGGTATAAAGATTACATATAAATTATATTTTATATTTATAATAAATATTTTATATTAGAATATTAGGTTATTTTTAATTATTAATATTTCATTTAAAAATATTAAAATTCAATATAGTACCTATAAATATTTATTTATTATAAAATTTAATTATTATTTTATTTAAATTTTCAAAAAAAAAAATATTATAAATTATGATTATATAAAATAAACATTTTTTCAAAAATTGCACAAATTAAAATACTAATATAATTTGTATGTTTTAAATTGAAAAATATTTATTATAAATTTGAATTAAATAATTATAATATAATTTATGTATTAAAAATTTACTCATTATAATTTTAATTATAAAAATAAAAATTTACTCCGTAAAATACTACTTATATATTTTAATTTAATAAATTTAAGGGAATAGGTATAACTTGAGACTATGAAGCTATCGTAAAAAAAAAAATAGATTATAGTCATTATTGTTTAAAAAAAAATAGAGGAGTTAGAAAAAGTAAATTGGAGAGAAAAAGAAGGCCACGTTTCATGGAAGTTGTAACTCCCTTTCACGTTTCAAAGAGTGATTCTTAGCAAGTGAAGAATATATAACAAATGATAAACATGTGACGCGTTCCATTTTGCATCTTCAAAAACATATTCGTTCATAAATCTCCGTAGTCACCAAAGGATCAATACTAACCTAGGAGATTATAATAACTATTGCTGGAATATCAATCAATCTCAACTCGATTTCCTTTGCATAAGCGCAATCCTTCAAGGTTTGTAAAATATCTTCCACACTAGGTGAATAACTTGAAATTTGCATGGGTAGGGATCGTATTTCAAGAGTGATAAACAACCATACGTTAATTATTTAGATTTGTAATCTGTGAAATTAATAGTTTATGTAATTACTGTGTGTTGTGTCTTCTTTTCTTGTCTCAAGTTGTGCACTGTATTGCTAATGTTATGCTGTGATTTTTTTTTGTTTGACAATTTTATCTATAATTTTGAGTTTTGCTGGCTATAAAAAAATGATTGGGTTTTGTTAAATGGTCAAACTCATTAACCCATGGATCTTGTTTTTGTAGCTATTTTGTAAGTGCTTCAGTTCACCTCAATAACAAAACTCTTGTCTACCTAGTCATATCAAGGATGGAAACCTTGAAATAAACTTGTGAGTTGATTTTGTACATTAATTTTCTTTTTCTTTTTATATATTGAACATTTCTTCCATGTAAAATGAGATTATTTTGTTTGTTAATATAGTGTTTGATGTTTTACATATTTTGTAAAATTATAATTTCTTGCAGTACTACTTGAAAAGACACAAGGTTATACTCAAGTTTTATGTGGAAGATTGATTCAGCAAAATATAGGCATGTGAAAGATGCGATAAATAACGTTTGTCTCATGGAAAAAAAATTGTTTTATCGTGTAACTTGTTGATATTTTCTTCAAAAGTCAATACAAGATCATTCCTCTAACATTGTTCCCAAATCTTTATTTTGCAACCTTTATATATTTGATTTTTAGACAAAAAAAAAACTAACAAAATATAGTTGTATAATATATCCATTTGCACTTTTGCATATATATGTTCTTGGATCACGCCAACCTTTCTAGCACCTTAAATACTTTAGTTAATCGTGCAACTTTATTTCTTATTTGAAAGTCTTTTATATTAATATTTTTATCTTAACTTTTTATATAATTACATTTTTATTAAATATTAATTACTTTATTTTTATTAATAAGTGTGTGTGTTGGCTTTAGGAAGAAACATATGTTTACTCACCTTCCAAGTATAATTAGCAACAGTTAGAAACCTCCCCGTTTAGGTTCAATTAATAAACCTGAGATGGAAATTCAAGAACATTTTCTTGTGTTGGCATCATGTTGTTGCTTACTTTTCTACCTAAGTGCTATTAACTTCGATCCATTTGTACAGATTAATCCGTTTTGGAAGGGTATGGGGGATTTTATGAAAGAACCAAGTCAATATCAAGTGGATGGCCAGAACCCAAAGCAAGTTTGGTTGAGCATTGGGGAAATGTTTGATCCTTATCCTTGGGTGGTAAGACTACAGTTAAGTGTTAATGAGCTAGTTTTGCAATCAAAGATAACATACGCATAGCAATAGACTGATCAAGAATGTTTTGGATGTTGGTACAACCAGCAACTCTTTCAATTCAAATCATCAAATTGGGCAAGTTGATCATTCTTTCTGTACCAAGAGATTTGTATTCTTTTCAATGTCATATCTTTGCTGGGTGTAATTATGCCTTCAGCGAGCATATCTGCAACCATCTTTTCAATTTGAGCTTTTTGACTGTGAGCATACCTATACGGTCTGACCTTAACAGGATTACTGCCTTCTATTAAAGGTATGGAATGATCCTGAAACCGTTGAGGTGGTAGACTTGAGGGTTTGGTGAAAACCTCCTTATAAGTATGCAACAACAAAACAAGTGCAGGTTCCAAATTTTGAGGTATTTCCTCACAGAATTCAGACTTGTTGTCAGATTCTTGTAGCTGTATAGAAAACACTTCAGCAATGGCATGAGTTTGATGGAGCCTTTTGATATGGTGAAACTGGGCTAGCTGAGGCAAGTTCTGTTTTTCACCATATAAGGTGATAAACTTACCATCTAGCAGAAATTTGAAGGCTAGAGCACTGTAATCAGCCACATGAGGGCCTAAGGTTGCCAACCATGCTGCACCTAGCACCAAGTCTGCTCCTGCTACTGGTAACAAATAGACAGGAAATTGGAGAGTGTAGCCTTGCACCTCAACTTGCAGGTCAGAAATAAAGCCTTCAGCAGACATTGAATTTCCATTTCCCACCATCACTTGGAAATTTGGGGCTGGTTCGATTGGTAATTTCAGAAAGTGAGCAATCCGTGGCTGCAAGAAATTATCAGAACTGCCACTGTCCAATAAAATGTTTACTGGACAACCATTAATTCGACCCTGGAACTTAATGGTACCAACTCCACTACTGCCTTTTAGAGCATTGAAAGACAAATGATGATCAGTTGCATCCTGTGGTAAGCTGTCTACAGAATCAGTCTGAATCACATTGTCCTCATGGGTGCACTGCTCCTCATCAACTTGCAGGATCATGTAATGCTTGTTAGGACACCTATGGTTTGGTGAAAAACGTTCATCACAAGTATAGCAAAGGCCTTTTTCGCGCCGAATCTGCATTTCAGTGGGTGTCATTTTTTTAATAGGATTGGTCGGTTGGGCGAATGGTTTAACTGTGGGGGTAGGCAAGAGAGGGGGTTGGGAATTTTGTAGTTTAGGATATGTGTATGGGGTGGTCTGTGTGTAAGGTTTATATGGTGGTTGAGATTTTGGTTTGGGAATGTATTTTTCTTCAAAGAGTTTGGCTAAGGACACAGCCTTAAGAATGGAAAGTGGGTTTTGTGCTATAACTTCTCGTTTTAAGTCTGGTTTAAGGCCACTAATGAAGCAATCTAGGAGGGCATCAGGACTAAGGCCATAAACTCTATTAGCTAAAGACATAAATTCAGTATAGTAATTACTAACAGAATTTGATTGAGAAAGCTTAAAGAGTGTAGATCTAGGACAATCATAAGGTGAAGGACCAAACTCTAATTCCAAGGCTTTTGCAAATTGTTTCCAATTTTGAAAAGGTTGAGTTCTAGTAATCATCTGGAACCAAGGGATCACATCCTTTTCAAAATGTAGGGCAGCAATAGATAATCTATGTTCATCAGGTGTCCCATAAAATTCAAAGAATTGTTCTGCTTTAAACAGCCATTGCAAAACATTTTCACCATCAAAGCGTGGAAAATCAACCTTAACATTTCTCACATGGTATGGAGGTTTGGGCCCAGGAGGTGGATCTGAGATGTTTGTGCTTACCGTGCTAAAAGGAGGTGGAGTATGAGGTCCTTGATGAACCAGAGTAAGTCTTAGTTTCTCCAAAGCAGCTTCAATTCCATCCAAACGGGTAGCAGTTTGTTGATCTCGAGTGTCTAATAAGGCAGCAAAGTCATTGTCGCGTTGCTCTAACAGCTCTACAACTTTCTTCAAATCACGAATATCTGAGGTCACCTCTTTCATGCGAGTATTCTCAGCCATTTGCAGAAAAGTTGATGTAGCAGAATGAAAGCACCAATGTAACAGTACTAAAATGGAAAAGAAATCAGAATAAAGGAAAAGGCAAGGAATGGCAGTGATTGTATTCTTCTATCAGCAAATAGGTACCAATAGTAAAGGATGAGTACAGAATTAGAGAATATGAGGTGAGAGAGAGAAATCAGAAAAATACAGATGAGAAGAGAAAGAGACAATTCATCATTCTACACTACTCTCACTAAAGGGCAAAAGTTGTTATTATACTGCCAGCCTACTTTCCTTGCACGAAATCTCTCAGCCTAGTGTTGGTCATCTTAGTGCGTGTGCTCCTCCTGAGCAAAGCATTCTCTGGAAAGGCTGCCACGTGTCCTTCCTCAATAACTAACTTATCATTTTCTGCCTGAAGAGGAATATTCTCCTCTGGGCCCATGACA